ATTTTCTCTATCAAATTGATGTCCTTTTGTGTAGTATGTGTTATGAGTGAGTTCCTTAGAATGGCTTATGACTATCTTGTCCTCAAAAGAGTTTCATAGCTTAAATCGAGTTTTGTTACATAGTAGCTCATTGCTGATTAGGTTCATGATTCCTCCCAAATGAATGCTAGTTGCCTGCAGATAGCAATGATGCCTGACAATTCAAGGACATGCATGCCTTAATAGTCCTTGTCCTAGAAACGTATTGAATGCCTCTCAAGTTTTACTACATGCCTACTATGTTCCATGCCCTGTGATGGACTCTGAAGACAATATGCTGAATTACATACATGTTCTGCCTTTAAGAGAGTTTCCAATTTAGGGTTTAAAATAGCTGTCCTTTGTTATCTTTTTTTGGTATAAACATACTTTTGATGTATACAGCCTAATATTTCTTCATTTGGAAACAGTCTAAAACAAATTACAAGGGCTACTATATTGATTTCATGTCTATTTATATTTCCGCACTGGCCCCAAATTGATAATCATGTTGTGAAAAGAAAAGAGGAAATTTAATATAGTTGAAAAGGATGTCCTGGGATTCATTGTATTTTAAAGTTGTTTTCGGGCTGATAGAAATTTCCTCCTGACTTATCTCCTACATAGTCCTTGCTATCCTGACATACTTGAAAATATACTGTGTTCATTGATGCATAAGGAAATAGAGTTCGAGCAAATATGGGAGATGGGATTGCTGGGCTGCTAGCAAAGTGTCAGGTCCTGTAAAGAACTGATAAGGACAAGGTTTAAATAAAGGAAGCTGTCCATCTAGCAATGGTATTAAGAAGAAGGGTACAAAATTAAACTGCCAAATAGCAAGCCTTTAATCACACTGAAGCCTTAACCTCCTTGTTACAACAACAACAACAACAAAAAAAAAAAAAAAAAGAAAGTTTTGTGTGCTACTAAAGTTAATTAAAGACTTAGTACATGTAAAGGAATGTTAAATGTTAAGATAGCTTCTGTTTACTGCCAAACATTTGAATGGANGGAGAGGAGGGAAAATTTTTAAGTGCTAGGGTGAGAGGGAACAAGGCCATTTCTGTTTGCTAATTGGCTTTGTCTAAAGAAAAATAAACTTTCTCATGTCTTTGTGACAGAATTTAGTATTATAACTTGGAACAAGGTGCCCACTTAAATTATGCTCCTGGCCTCTCACAAAACTGAGAGACAAAGGTGCTTTCACTCTTGATGTTGCATTTCAAAGGGATAGCTTCCAGGTCCTTGAGAAAAACACTCTGGGTTGTCAAACTGGCAAGAGGCTTTTAAAAATGATTCACTTCTTAAAGGACTTGAGAAAGAATTTACAATTACAAGTTTTCTAAAGTAAATCCTCAAGAAAAGGGATGCCGAAAACCTAGTGTCAGGAAGAAGTCTGTCTACATTTGAGCCAAGCTGAGGGAACACTGAGGCCTTCTTGGTCAATTTCAGTTTGCATACAATCTGAAATAGTAGGAAAAGATCACGGCCTCCCCGCCAAGAGAGAGCACACACATGCACATTATTTCTTGGAAAGAAACACTTCCTGAAAATTACATTTTAGGAATCCTTCTAGCAACTGGAAAGCATAAATCCAACACTTTCAGCCTCCAGAGCCTGGCACCCTTGCATTTCTCATGTGAAAAACTAGGTCAAAAGACACTCATCATCGTGCAGCACAAACTTGGAAATTGTTTCAAAGCTCCCTGCTGAATCTAATGACCTAGATTCTGTTCTACCTTGTAGAGGGCACACAGGCTACAAAGCTGTCTTTCAGCTGCCACTGACACTATGGCCTTTGCTCTTGATAGCGTTATCTTCTTGATGGTTGATAACATTTCCAATTGTTAGTTTATAGAAATGCAATAGATAAGGAAACAACTTACAAGGTCATATTGGGCAAATTTTAGGCATAACGTAAAAATGTACCTGATTTTTGCTACATACACTGTCACAAATTACAACAATAGAAGAGATCAAGTGAGCAATGATATAGAAAGGGAAGACTGTCTTTATGTATCTAGCCAGCTAGCTTGCTAGCTGATCTCCAAGACTCTTCTTTGTAGAAGACTAAAAATAAATGCATCACAGAACAGGGTAAAAATGAATGAGCAGTAAGATGTGTAAAATGTCAGAAAATGGGGATATTTTCTTAAATTTTGAGGTTTTGAAAAAACCGAGAAGGATTAACTATGTCAAGAATTGATAGTTAGCTATTAGCTGTAGATGTAATGAGTTCAGTAGAGATGGATGAGGGTGCTTTAGAAGGATTTTAAAAGAAAACTTTCCATGAGACCTAGCAAGTCTGTAAAGTTCGAAAAAAAAA